TCGCTGAGCCAGTATTCAGACTGGTAAGGAGGGAAGGTTGGGCATGAGGCTGGCTAGTAACCTCATCCCGTAAAAGTAAACACCACTACTACTGAAATTCCAAGTGTCTAGCTTGAAGCCCTTTGTTCCACTGGGAACGTAAGGGAATAAAAAAGACACCTAAATCCCAGATAGTACGGAATTTTCGCAATCTTCTGAGTTTTGAGCAGAATGAGGCCAGGGCCCTAGATAGCATAGATGTCAATCGACAAAGAATGATACAAATCGAACCCACATCACCCAGTGAGTACTGCAGTCAGTCAGAGACGTTGTCACTGAACTATTCGGGCTCACGATTGACCTCCTGTAGGACTGACTGTATTGGATGCTTTGAGTGAACACTGTTCAGAAACTAGTGTAATGTGTCTAGTCCTTTGTCTTATTGGTGCGGACTAAATTCGATCAGTCAAGTTTACAATGTGGCCACCATACCACTAGGTGGTTCGCCATCACGTTGCACTTTGAATTGTTGATGTTAGTTTGTCTCAAGACTTCCTTAGTGGCAAAGAAATCTCTTCCCCCTGAATGAATACACTGTCTGTGCGTCTTTGGTGAACTTACTCAAATCGATATCTGATGACTTTTCGCAGAAAAATAGTATTGCATTGTAATTCAACATTAAGCGTAAAACCTAGTCATTCACTCGCTGAAGATGTACTTCTAGAAGCGGGAGATCTTAGTCTACAGATGACTTCTAACTGATTCCACGTAACCTTCCACATGAACGTTTCTTTATATTGTGGATTTAGATTAGAATTATTACAGGTCAACTATAAACCGGGGAAATATACACTTGAAGCTGTGCTGTTTAAAGGTATACGAGTCGTCGAATTTATTTAGATAGGTCTACCAATATGATTTGCTTCGTTGGTATCGAAAACGTCTTATAAATGTACTGAAATTAAACATTTATCAATAATTATTTAATTCAAATGGCAGTTTCCTTTTGATTTATTGTACCAAAGTGCTCGGTCTCCGGTTGACATGCTTCAGCGGTGCTTCGCCACCAATTCACTTCAGGTTAAACAGTCAGACATCGTCGAAGCATCTGCACAAGGAGCCAACATGTCAAGCTGAGGCTGAGCACTTTGGTCCAATCAGTTAGCGGGAAAGCGCAAATTGAATTATAAATAATTACTGATACACCGGTTGCCTAAGAAAGAGGTGGCTGTCGTGGTTCAAGTGGTCTAGTGGATAACACTTTGGAGTTTGAATCAATAGGAACTGGGTTCCAGCCTCAATGAGAGCACCGTCGCTAACTGATTGGGGGATACAGGTACATCCAGATGACGACTAATCCTGGATTCCACCGCTAGTCACCCTCCACCAATTCACTTGAAGTAGAACATTTGTCACCCCTATTTTTATTACTTGAGATGAAGTGTATGCTGAGTACTTTAAATGCAACTTGCATAAAGGCAAAGATCGGTAACTTTGACACACAATTATTCAGCCACTGGGATGCCGTTCAATGGCTCATGAATTCTAACTTCGTGCAACCCCAACCATTGTCTGATGCTCGCTAGTGACTTACTACAGTGCGGAGTTTCCTGGAGTTCTAGTCAGAAGTCGCGACCAGTGAGGTCCAATTAGATGTCATGTGTGTGGATGGATGTCCCACCTACGACAATGGTCGGGGTCGCGCTAAATCACGAATTAGTAGAAGTTAGAATTCATGAGCCATTGAATCGGGTCCCAGTGGCTGAATGGCATACGAGATAGCTAGCGTTGTAACCGGAAGGTCCTGGGTTCGAACCCTGTTGGTGGGTGCGTACTGCCGATGATCCCCAAACTAGGATGAAACAGCTGTCCATTACTCCCTGGTTCTCAATGATTCTTTAACTGATATTAGTCCATGATCAACTCGTAAAAAAATAACTAACCCTTACAAACCAAACTGTAGAAAATACAATTAAGTTACAGCCACAGTGCATCTGAGTCCTTGCATTGCTTTGTTTCTGAAAGTTTAAATATTTCCACATAAAACCAGATCCAATCTGATAAAAATGCTCTCCAGGAAACAGTTTAGGTGAGAGTAACCATCATAAGACAAGATACGCCTTCATCAACCTGGAAGCCAGTTTGGAAATCTCCTGGTTCATTCAGTCTGGCCAGCATAAACAACAAGATTCGGATTCTATTCAACACAAATGTCAAGTCAGTTAGTTCTTCCCTGTGAGTAAGAAACTTAAGGGATGCCTCACGAAAGGCATTTCCAACAGGCCAGTGCAGTGCAAACTTTCATTAACAAACAACTGCCCCCTCAGCTGGCGTCATACTGAAGAACAAATGGCAGGCTGGCCAAAAAAATTAGCAACAATAAACTATGGCATTGAACAGACTAACCAAGAACCTCTGGTTCGACAAATATGTAAGAGGAAATGGAGATGGGTCGGCCATACATGCCACTGAGGAGGCCGACGAATTACATAGCGCTCAATGCAGGTCATCGCTCGAGTTGAACCTGAATAGGACACGAGTGACGAGTGGGTCGTGAGTGCGCGGG